GTTGAAAGCGTTCTTTTTTGAGCAGGTAACTTCGTTTCGAAATCAAATCGTGCCTGCAGATGACAGGGAGAGCCCATCCATCCTTGGTGGCTTAAAATGAATGCAGTTTTGCCCGGGCAAAGAGGCGAGGCATATCTTCAGATATTTGCCCCCGACATGAATTCTCACTTGCCAGTTTGTTCGGCAAGGAAAAATCCAGACTCAGGAGCCCTTGGGAAGGCAAAAGATAATCCATAAACTAGACTATGTTGGCAGCGAAGGAAAGAGTTGAACTTAATCTGTCTGGAGGAACAGCAAGTCTACCCCATAAGGACATTAAGCATGGGAACAGTAAAGGAGGAAGAAAAAGATCGCCTGGGAGGGGAGGGGGCCTCTTCAGTGCACTGCGCGAGCCGAGAAAAAGTTTCCCCAAAATGGTAAAAGAATTGAAACCGGAGCTAAAAGCTAGTCTGAAAAAAGGGCATCCAGGCTCACTTCGCAGACCCGCCACAATTTTCCATGCTGCCAACAGCTTTCATTCTTCAACGGCGGGCGGGGAAAAGAAAAATTCGGAGAGGGGAACTTAAGCGTCAAGTGGCTCGAAAGCAAAAAATGGGCCGGGGAGGTGGGAAAAAACCCCGAAAGGGATTTTTGTTACAGAACCCGCATTGCTGGCCGAGAAGTGAGTGGCGCTGGCGAGATTTTGGGGAGGGGGGAAGGAACTAGTTTCAAAACTTGTAAGGCTCCCTGCTCCTGCTGGAGAAGAAGGTCCTTGTAATGGGATCGCACAAAGCCCGTCTCCTGACTCCCAGATTTTAGTCCAACGACGGCAGCGCTGAATTGACCGTGGGTGATCTTAAAAAAAAGAGAGAGAGCTAAACAGACGCTGAGTTTTCCCAGCTGCTAAAATAGAATGGCTTAAGGGCACCACCCCATTAAAAAGCTGCTGCCTTAAATGTCCAGCGTCTGTCTTCCTGTCGGTTCGGGTTCTCGTTTCACCAAGATATGGTTTGCTCTCGTACAGTTATCCACCATCATGGAGATCCCAAGAAAGATAACTTTTAACAGCAATCTTTTGAAAAAACAGTGCAGTGGTGTGTCTAAGGGAGCCCATCCTTCAAGATCAGGGTGGAAACATGGTGTCTGCAGAGATCTCGCTCTCTCTCTGGCCCCCGATTTGGGTTTCTTCCTGGTTTTTTCATTCTGGTAATGAATTCAAATTAAGCAAGAAGCTGGCACGCTGTGCCACGCCACACGCCAGGCTCCAGTATCACCTTGACTTCCAAGAAGGCCCCTGGGTCCAACAACAGCCCTTGAGATCATCTTAGATTGGCAGAAGGTTGCAGCTCTGGGGGTTTCTTTGTGCCCAGAATAAAACCAAAAGGAAACTGAAGTGGTTCATCTGAGGTGACTAGAGAACCTCTGAAGGTGTTACAGAAGATGGTGGAGAACCAAGTGTGGACTTTTAACGTGAGCCACAGCGCTGATTATCCTTTGGCCCCGATCTTTAGCGCCTTTGTTATGGACCATCAGGATCCATAGATGAGAGAGGATGAGACCCTGCACCCCCCAGAATTCCAACCAGGCATGAGCCATGTTGGCTTGGAATTCTGGGAATCACAGTCCTAGCCCTGGAAGAAAACAGCTGGGGAAAGCCACGCATGGGAGACCATGAAGTCTGAGGTCCCCGACGTTTATTTCATTCAGCCAAAACTGCATTTGAAAGAATTTATGAAAGGTAATGAATGATAAGGCCTTTCAGCAGCGAGGCTGGGGGGAACGACGGTCTTTTCCAGGCAGAGAATGATTTGGGGGGGGGGCTCTTCCCCCACTCCAAGCCCGAAATCCATAAAATCTTGCACGGTATTACCATACCTCACAGCCATTGATTTCGGTTCTAGCACGCAGGAGATCGCCAGATTTTACAGTTCTTGTAAAATGTTGGCCTTTGGGCATTTGTAGATTTTCTTTTCGGGGGGGAAGAAGATTCAAGCTGCTCTTACAGGTCCAATGAGTGCCTCGTTTGTTTGCCTTGACCCAGATAGATTTGGCTGTGATTTCTCCTCTGGGCCCAACACCCTTGGTCCAGTTATTCAAACACCCTGAAAAATGAGCAATCTTGACTTTAAAAAGTGGGGTCGAGTTGACTTTTGATGGTGGCCTGTTAGCCACGGTCCTGTTTGCAGCCTGAAATGTGGCAGAGGAATAGGACACAGTGAACCCCCACCCTTCCCTTTTCAGTACGTGCAGAATGCCCTAAAGATCAGCGTAAGCAACCCCACCAAATGTCCTACATATTTGGTTGGCTTCCATCCCAACCACCTCTAACCAAAGGCAACTGCAGAAGTTACACCCTTAAAATACCGACGGGCATCAAGTTGCTGTTGGAGAGGCTCCATCTTCATACCATCTTCCTTCCTCTTCTCCCAAAAGAGAGAAGTGATGGGATCACACCAATGGGCCTCACACCTGGATCAAACTCCCTAAGTTGGCATTGTGCACCTCCTCTGGGCACGGCCAAAGGTTGAGGAATACATCACCTTCTCCAGCAGAGGACAAAATTGCCTTCTGAGAAACACACGAGCCCATCCTATGATTTCCAAAACGACCAACGATTCCTGATTTATTTTCTCTCCATTTTGGGCAGCGGGGTAGTGGTGGTGGCGGCCCTGAGTTCAGAACTTCTCCTTCAACCAAACACATTGCTCTTTGGGGAAATGGAAGACCACGTGCCACATTCTCAAGGCCAAGCAGAGAGATCTCACTGCTGAAAACAAGATCGGCCGATCGGTTCCGGCGAAGCCAATCGATCCTGTCCTGGCTAGCCAGCAGAAATTCAGCTTATTTTAACTTTCTACGGTTTCCTCTGCATGCAACCGAGGTAGCTGCATCTGGGGGCCAGGAAATCTTGTGCAACAAGGAGGAGGCAGCCGCATAAAAGAAAAGAAGAAAAAATCCACCGGTAACCAAAGACAGGCAGTGAAAACAACTTTGTTGCGTCATCCTTGGAAGGCTGCACGGCTTCTGAGTTAGTGCTAAGCTACTCTCCTATTCCCTCTCAAAGAAAAAAATATATATATCAGGAGCAAGCAACAACTGTACCCCCCTGAGTAAACAATGTCCTATTCTGCACTGGGGAATTATGTAAGCTTCACATCACATGTTCCCAGCCGAGCAAAGAAAGGGACTTAACACATTTCACAAAAACACACGCACTGTTCTCTCTGGGCAGCCACATCTAATCTGTACCCCAGGCACGGGTGGCGTGGCATCCGAGGCGGAGAAATCCCCAGTTTGGAGGGTGCCTACCAAAAGGACCTGCTGAAAGAGGCCCCCCTGCCAAGGAGTTTTATTTGGGGGCATTTCGAGGCACGGATAGAGAGCGGCCGACAGGATGAAGCTGGGGAGTGCCTGTGAATTGGAATTTTGCCCTTTTTTAAAGAGCGAGAAAGGTTCATTTAGTTTTTTGGCTCGCTTGTGCCTGGTTAGGAAGGCAGTTTCCAAAAGTGATGGAGAAAAGAGCATTTCAGCCATCCAAGGGAACCTTTGCGCATGATTAAAAGACAAGGACAGGAATAAAAACAACAGCCATAACAAGAAAAGGAGGAGGAGAAACACAACGCAGGGTGCTTTCTCCCCTTTCTAAAATATCACTCGCATTCCTTCCCAGCCTTTCATAAGTTTTTAAGCTACTTTTAACCTTGTCTGGATTTTTAAAGGAGTTTCTTTGGTTCGCGGTCCTACAAACCAAAGGTCTCCAGCTCACATCGGTATCCGCAGGATGGGGTGGAAGGGTTGGTCACACTGCATTGTGATTTTCTCACACACGTGATGCAAATGGCAGAGGGACTACCGATCCCATCAGCTGCCTCTCCCAGAAACCTGCTACCGTTGAGAGAAGGCGGCTAGAAGAATAACAACGATACTTCATAGTTATAGCACGCCGTACGGAAATCTTCAAAATACTTCTCATGTCATCGTGAGTCATTCTTGGAACTTTCCTTTAAGACGACGGATATTGCAATCGTGTCTCAGCTCCCAAGACTCTGACACGCGACCAACGCGTTTTGCTTTACTATGCATTATTTACTGCACTGAAAAGCCTTGATTCGACAGGCCCCCCTTTGAGCAGAGTTCAAATGCAACGGGCCAAATTTTGGTTGGGACATCTCCCTCTGAAATAACGGCCGTGTCTGTTACATCCAAAGTACTCCAAACGCAGCAATTAAATATATGTAATTTTACATCACTTATCTTTATTTAACTTCCCTATGCAAACGATCAAATTCACATCCACTGATGTCCTTTGAAATTATGCAGGTCGCTGCAAAGGCATAATTTGCACAACAGGAGGAGGAGGAGGAAAAGGAGAAGGAGAAGGAGGAGAAGGAGAGGAGAAGGAGAAGGAGAAGGAGAAGGAGAAGGAGAAGGAGAAGGGAGAAGGAGAAGGAGAAGGAGAAGAAGAAATACATCAAGAATAATAGACATCTTTTCTTACCAGTTGGTTATGTCACGGTGTCACTGTAGTAAGTAATGTAATTAAGTAAGAGAAAATTGAGAATGTCCATTTCGGGTCACAAAAGATCTGAAGGTCAACAGCCAGATCTTTGGCGTCCAGAAGAAGTCTCAACTTTCTAACCCCAAAAGGTACAGCAGGAGCCAAAATTGCTTTCTTTGCAACAGTATGAATTTAATTTATTTATTTATTTGCCCATGCCTAACAATTGGATTTGAAATTTCAATCCAACAATTTCATCCAGTTCTCTAAATTCTGAAATCTGGACAAAAGAAGATCCATAAAGTCATATAATGCTAGAAGATTATGAAGAAGAGGAGATTATGTCTTATTATAATAAATGATTGTCATTAGATTAGATTTTTAATCACCTTTAATTCAGCCAGCACAGAAATAACGTCAGTTGCAAAAGGATCACAGCCCGATGGAAGATGTAACAAACATCGGGCAAAAAAGTTTCTCTTTCTTTCTTTCTCTCTCTCTCTCTCACACACCTTTATTTTACCTTTTCGACATCTGCTTTCGTGACGTTGATGTCAGCGTCCATCTTCTCAAAGTACTGCTGCGCCCGGTCAGCTTCTTTGCAATCCCGTTCGAATCGGCGCTTGCTCTGACAAGGGAGGAGAAAGAGGAAACCGCATGAAACCGTGCCCAAAGACCCTGCCATTCTCTCTCTGTCTGCAGCCTCCTTGGCTGCCCACCCTTCCATTCAGTCTCAAGGGGAGACTCAGGAGCCTTTCTCAGATGGGGAAGGATGAGCAGCCAGGGAGGCTGCAGAGCCATGGAAAGATGTGCAATAGCCAGCTCCACCAATCCCAGCTGACATTCTCTGCCATGTCCAACAATCAAGTCAACTGAAAAAAAGTATCAAGAGTAATGTACAGCTCATCCTCATTTAGCGACCACAATTGGAATTTGGTTGTTAAGTGAAGCAGTCGCTAAGTGAAACCGCGACTGTGCTTACGATTTTACTTCAGCATTCCTTTGCTTTACAGACCTGTGAAGGTCATAAAGGTGAGGATTGGTTGCAAAGTCACTTTTTCTTCACCGTTGTAACTGCGAACGGTCGCTAAACAAGGCAGTCGCGAAACGAAGATGACCTGCGAAAGGAACTCTCCAGCGTGAATTCTGAGAATAAGGCAGAAAAACAGAAGCCCCTTTCCCGGGGAAAGGAAACTCTTGGCAAATGGCAAGGCAGAAATTTCAGCACAACACTTCTGTAGTATTCACTTCTTGACTGAAGCAGTCAATTTCCCTTTCTTCTGCAAAAGCAAGAAAAGTCCCTGGGAGGAGCTCATGGGAGAACACAGAATAGAGTCACATTACTTTCTCTGTACACAAGAGAGGGTCTTGAGCCCCAGAGAAGAAGACTCGAGGTTGCATTTCTGCTTCTCTGCGACTGTACCCCCTCTTTTCCCACCCACCCCCCAGATCGGGGCACACTCACCGATTCCAGCTGTTTCCAACAGGTTTCTATGTGTTGCTGTGCTTTCCGGCCATCGTGGAAATGCTGCAGAGAAAGATTCGTCAAGTCTTCTTTAAAAAGGCAGATGGTGCCAAAAGAGATCAATTGAACACCATTTTTATGACGACTCCCCCTATATTTATATTCCTCCCTTGGGCTGTCTTGTTGAACTTGGTTTTAGTTTAGGGACAAGCGGGTGGCGATTTTGAGGGGGCTCAAGAGGTCAAATCCAAGGCTATCAGAGGACACACCGGACTCTGCATACAAGTCCCAACCCTTTTGTCCAAAATCCACCCCAGGTGGAGCTCCTGGAAAGGTTGGACTGGTCGGTTTGGAGATTCTCCCTCTCCGTTCAAACTTCTTGAGAACTTTCAGTCCCAATGAAGAAAGCTGCCATTGTTTTTACCTGCAATTGTGGTTCATCTTTTTATTTATTTATTAAACGTGAATGCCTGAGAACACCAATATTCTCACACAGAAAAGGTAAATCTTTTTTATATTACTTTGGCGATAACATTTATAATTTTAAATCTGTGGATTTACAAGGAGAAGGGCCAGTTTCGTTCTCCTTGTATGGTAACATGTTCTGGAGACTTCCGTTACAAAGTTTAGAAACTCTGTCAGTCAAGTGGCCTCTTCTTACAGATTTGGACCCGGTTCCCTTAGACTAGGTCTAAATTTCCCCCCCTGCCCCACCCTCGAAAGTGAATTTTTGCTCCATGGAGCACCATGGACCACCATGCACCCTTTATTTCCTTTAGTTTGGGAATGTCTAGTTTTGGGATGTACTCCAAAAAGTAGGTTGGGCCAGAGAAAGAAATAGATAGGAAACAAAAGAATTCTTATTTCATTTAAGTAGAGAAGAGCAGCAAAGAAGGTGAGAGGTTGGAGGCTAAATTCTACAAAAAGCATTTAAAAGAACTGGGTGTGTTTAGGAACTGGCTAAGGGGAAACATCAGAGTAGTCTTCCAATCCTTGAAGTGTTGTCCCAGGGATGAGGGTGTGGATTTATTCTGCCTGGTATAAGTCAAGAACCAATGGTTGGAAGCTTTACAGAGGGAGATCCAAATGTGAAATAAGGAGGAATTTCCTGGCCATGAGAGCTATGAAGCATGGGCAATTCTGCCTCTTGGAGTCACAAGGGCCCCATCACTGGAGGGTTTCAAGCAAAGGTTGGACAGGGACGGTTGGAGGATTCCTGCTCTGGGCAAGGGTGGCCCAGAAGACCTCCAAGGTCCCTCCCAACCTTAAGAGTCTACGGCCTAAGTACAGTTAATACCTTCTTCCTTCTGGCATTTCCAATAACCCCTTTATTAAAATCAGCTGTGCCCACCCCCCATTAAATTATAAGGTGGGAGAGACGTCCTGTTTGTACTTCAATTCAACCTTTGCAGCCTGCCTTTGCTAAATGCCCAGAATCCTACTCACAGAAACCGACCGCAGGGACAGAAGATGCCTTAAAAGGCAACACAACCATATGGGGCCTAACATCCCTTCTCCTCAATCTGATGACCCAGTGGCTCTCAGACCTTCTGTGCACAACGTATGTCTTTTTAAGGAGCCTTTATTCACTGCAGCGTGGCACTGCAGGGGAAATACACATTTTGGCTAGCGAAGCTTCTTTGGAGTTGCGTTACCACGGGGATATATTTCGCACCCGCAGACAAGAAAAAAGAATCGTCCGACGGCAACAATCTTGGTTACAAAACCAAGTTGAGGTTCTCCAAAGCGTACAATCAATGGCATATGAGGAATGTGGGGCAGGGAGAATAGCTATCAAGTCCACAGAAGATGCTACACACACACACACACACACTTACTCCAAACACCTAGGATGAATTCAGCCCCTTGAACCAGAAGTTCACTCAGCAGTAGAGAACTCAAAAGAATTAAACACTCGCTTACAAAAAAAGACGCTTCGATTATAGAGGCACATGGGAAAGATCTACAAAAGAGCCCCGGGCTGTGGATGGCAGGAGATCCAGAACAAGCACCCCCAGATCCAATCCATCTTACGAGATGATTTCCCTTAAAGCACCTCTTTCTCCTGTTTTTCCCCCATTCCAGGTGTCTTCCCGTTTTACGTCGTGCGTTGCCGAATACAGCCTGCCTCAAAGCCATGTGCTGCTGGGGGAACTCTGTTAGGGGAAGGTCCTGGAGATTTGATAGAGGCAGGAAAAATTAGATGGGGGGATTTTCTCACTATTTGCCCTTCCCAAAGGGACTGAAACCTGATTTCTTCCTGTTCCTAAAGCCGTGTCCAATGCAGAAGGACGAAGCCACGGTGGGTTTTGAACCGGGGCACATCTGCAGAGATTAAAAGAGTTGCAACAGAAGGACGCCGGTTCCTCAAAACATCTGGTCTTTCTACACCTCTTTCTTGACAGGTACAAATGGACGCCTTGTACTCCCACGAGCAGCACGGTGGAGATAGTGCTGGATAATTCCCCCTTATTTCTCATGGTTATTGTCCTTGCAGTTATGTTCTGGAAAAGCATAGCTACCTATAGCTTCACACAGAGAAGGATCCCAATTTCCTGTGGCTGGAAGTTCCACAGGCTACATAATAATTCATTAAATCTCTTTTATTTCTCCAGCCTTGACGCTTTAGAGAGCGATACCTTGAGCAGAGATACCCACCTACTTCTCTATGGGAGGCCATGTCGTTTAGCAGGATTTTGTCTCCAATTCTAATTTTTCTACTCTGTGCTGGGATAAGGGAGAATTGGGGCTTTATTTGTCTTTTATTCTGCTTAATGTCCAGGATACATCATCTTCCAGATAATGGAAGGTAGACAAGAGACTAAAAAGAAAAAAATCGGGTTTCATATTTTCCACATCTGGATTCGCTCTCCAGGCAACAAAATATATTTTCATTTAATGGGATCTGTAAATCTCATTTTCCAGGTTGCAACACTGACCTCGAAAGACGTCAGAGTAAAGAAAGTAATCCCAGGCTCTGGAAAAACTTTGGGGGAGTTGTCAAAGAAAATTTCCTTCTTTATAATCTCTCTGTCTCTCTCAAAATTTTGCAGTGAAATTGTAAAAGAAGGATTTCACAGGAATGAGACCGATAAGAAATAACACTTCTGAAAATCAGCCCTTAATTATAATCTTTTGCATTTAGAAAAAAAGCAAAGGCAGGATTTCAAGGTAAAATGTGACCATAAAAAGGGATAAATTTTAGCCACCTCACACGAATCTATCTGATGCCTCAGCAGCAATAGGAAACAACATGGGATCCAACATCCCTGCTAAATATTCAGAGAGATTTCTGTAGTCCAGAAATCTCTCTGAAGTCAGTTTTGAAAGCCCTGGGTGAACTTTCACTTTCAGCTCGGTCCTCATCTGCACTTGTCCCCCTCTGTAAAATGGGTACACCTCAGTGCTAGTTGGATGGTTTTTAATTCTCTTCCCTTCATTAATTACAAACATCTTAGTCGTTGCGGAAAAAAAATAATATTCCACATTATTTTAAAGAAAATATTCCTTGTCACACCCCCTCCAGCAAAGGAAAGCCTCCACGGATATTGAGAGAGAGGTAATGTTTTAAATGGATGCAAATCCTGGAACCGCTGATCAGTTGCAAAGCATTTGCAACTTTTTCTTGGGATTGCAATTGGCTGCAAAGAGACAGCTGGCCGGGGGAGAGGAAAACTATCATTCTGGAGGAAAGAACATCCAGGAAAGGCCCAACAACAATTTGCAAATATTTAAAGGACAAACAGAAGAAAGATTTGGTTTTGTTCCAGGGCAGGAAGTTTAGAAGCATGGATTTTGACTGAGTCTTACTTATGGCAACAGCTCGTAAGTGGAAAAGACCGTCACAGACAATCTGGGATCTTTCTTTGATGGACACCAGATATATCTTGCCCAGTCCAACTCTTGGGCTGGGCAAGAGTTGGACTAGATGTTCTCCAAGATCCGTTCATGATTCTCTTGCATAAGACGCAAGATGGGTCAAGACTTTGAGAGCCATTCCTAGCTGGAACAGACAGAACATCACTCCTTAGCACGCAGAAGCTTCCAATAACTAACATCTATGACTAAAAAGTAACTGAAAGCATCTTCCTGCCCAAAATCAGGGACGGAAAGCTTCTTTCCACAGGCAGCTGCAATTTTCTCAGGGGGGGTTGTTAAATTAACTGGTGTCAATTAAAATAAATGCTTGGGAACAGCATAAAAAAGGGATGTGTTTATGTGGGGGTCCCTAGAAAAAATGAAATCCATCCTGCCACTGAATCCTAAGAAAAAAATCAATGTAATCCGGTGGAAAATAAGGGGATGGAGAAGGAAATCTTGGGGGCAGCTTGAAAAATAAGAAGATTGCTTCCTCCTCTAGCTAGGACTGGCTGGATATGGCTACCCATTTAAGGGGATAGATAGAAAACTTCAAGCAGATTAGAGTCTGTTTAGGTTTTAAGAGACTCCTCAAAGCTGTCCAGTTAGTGTCAAAAGAAGAAATGAATGCCTCTTAAGACATCCCCTGGAAAGACGAGTGATCAATGCTTTCTTGCAAAACCCAACATCTCATCTTCATCTTTCACCTTGCTTAGGACAGCCTCATTCAGTTGTCCTCGCTTCGGTTAAACTTCAGGGAGTCAGACCCCAGTGCAGATCGACTGCAGATTTAATGTCACAAGGATCCGCCAGCATCAAAGGTCATGTATTGGCGTGTCAAGGCCACGCTTCTTTCCAGTTGTATCACACAGGTTGAAAAAGCGGTGCCGTCAGAAAAGCCGAACAAAGGAAAATGGACGCCTCTGAACTGCGGGGCTGGAGAAGATGGCAGAGAATACCTTGGACCTCAAGAACAACAAATCTTTCACTGCTGGATGAAGGAAAAACAGCCTGCTTGCTGGAAGCACTGATCACGAAGCCGAACCTTAAATATTCGGGATGCATGATAAAGCAAACGCAAGAATCGTTGAAGGGAACCCCGGCGCTTGGAAAAAGGGAAGGGACTCAAAAAAGAGGCTGCAGAAGGCGAGGTGGGTAGAAGCTGTCACTGATGGCACAAGCAGGAACTTGCGAGAAGTCAAAGG